TCTATTTTAACTTGGAAACCTGTCATTATTTTTTTATATTCGTTAAAGAAATCAAATATATACTTTAAAGGAATCCATATTTTTACTGTTTGACTATTTTTTGTAAATTTACATCTTTTTGAAAATCCTTCATTAAAACTTTCATTTAGTTTAAGGTTTTTAAAAAAATCAGTTATTTTGGTAGTTCAGCTGTATCTACATAAAAGAACATGTTAGTAGCTTCCGATGTTGAATAATCAGGGGTGAAGTGTATCATCCCTAATACTTGATTCATAATGGCTTTATAATTTATAGTGGATTCAACTTCAGTATTTCCTATAATCAACCTGTTTGAATTTATGAGACCTCCTCCATTCACTAGAGTAACATTTTCATTACTTATTACACCTCCATCTCCTTTTACAATTTTTAATTCTTGTTGCAGATATCCTGCAGAATATAAAATATTAGCATTTGTAACATTGATAAAGAAATTATATGTAGCATTTTCACGAAGATTATCTCTATTTTCACTTTTTAATTCTCTATATTCAAAACTTTCAACGTCGTTATTATAATAATAACTAGTCAGTGTCTTTCAAATCATAAATTTTATCCATTTATTTAGGAATAAAAAGTTTCAATCCAGTACCATGTTTTTTATTTTTGGAAAATATTTCATTCCATTTTTCTCTTACAAATTCTTTAGATTTATCTTCTACAATTGGACTTATAAAGTCTGAAAAGTAGCCTCTTCCTTGTATTTTTTTGCTCTTTCTATATAATCTATGTTTGTTCATTTATTTAGCAATAAATTTGTACTGTACTTCTTGTTTATTTAAATCAATTAGTTCACCTCTATGATTTATAATTCTCATTCTAATTCGATTTATAGAATCAGATTTAACGGGAAAAATATCAGTTTATCAAAATCTTTAAAATATAAACTTCCAGGTGGATTTGAAGATGTGAAAGAATAAATGACTTGAGATTGAAACTGATTTATATAAGCACCATCCACTATATCACAGTGAATATAAATATTATCATTACCATTAGCTATATCAGCAATAAATTTACCTTCTTGCTCTTCCTTTTCATATATTTTAGGTTCAAAGCCTAAATTTTGTACAATTTACTTTTAGATAAATAAATTTTATAATTCTTCTCGAGTTTAATACTAAACCTTTGTCTTTCTTCGATTATTCCAAATAGTATAGGTGGATCATTTCCAAAATGTTTTACCATATAACGATTCAAACCTCTTATACTATAATGACCATTTGGAATAATAAAATCTTCCCATTTGGCTCCGTCAAAGTATGAAAATTTATTGTTTTTGTCCGTAATATTATTCCATGAAATATACATAGAAAAAGACTGAAGAGCTATCTCTGTAAAATGAAAAGGTCTCGAATACTCAATGTTGAAAACTTCAGATTTATCTGCGCTTTTCAAATCTAATATAATATACTTCATTTATAAAGAACAATTTTTTCATTTAAATTATTAGGTTCTTGAGTAAATGAATATAAAACATCAATAGGAGATTTATTTTTATTTCTTTCAGTTATATATTTCATACAATAGAAACCACATGTTACAGAACTCGGACTTTGTAAAAAACTATCGTTATATCTAATTTCTTTTCCAGAAGTATTTAAATAACTTAGTATGTTTTGAGGAAGAAAATCATTTTTTATTATTCTATTGTTATATTNTATCGAATATCTTTTCCAGAAGTATTTAAATAATTTTGTATATTTTTAGGAAGAAAATCCTTTTTTATTTTTATAGTGTTATATACATATTCTCCAAAAAGATCAAAATATTCTATAAAATCATACTTTGGGTCGTTATAATAACAAACCCAATGCGTTCCACTCCCTGTAGATATATCTAAATTTATTATTCCGTTTTCAAATTTTCTTATCTTTTTAGATAACATATCAATAGTAAATATACCTCTAAAATTTCGTTGGATATTCCCAGGGTTGATAGGCTCACTTTTCACAAGTTTTTTTTTTTTTTTACCTGATCCAGAAATTTTGTCCAACACTTTTTTAGTACTCCAACCAGCTGCACCACTAGCTGCTCCTAATGCTAAAGTAGAAAGTAAAGGCACTAAAAATGGTAAAAACCCTCCATTTTTTTTCAGTTGAGTCTTTGATATTTTAATTCTTTTACCTTTATCAATTTGGTTAATTCGCGTAACTGTTAAATGTAAATCAAAGTTGGGTGCTTTACTTTTATCTATTTGTAAACTAACTTCTTCACCATTTTTATAAGCTGATTTCAATTTAGAAATCTGACTGTCGCTCAAGTATACTTTTTTTACAATCATTTATTTACTAAGAAATATCTTATAGTATTCCTTTACCTGATCATTTGTCATAGTTCCCTCTCTTAATAGTGAATCCAACAAATCAACAGTTTTATTATAAAATTTTTTACTTTTAGAACCTTTACAAATTTTATCTGTCAAATCAANATAGTATTCCTTTACCTGATGGTTTGTCATAGTTCCCTCTCTTAATAGTGAATCCAACAAATCTACAGTTTTATTATACAATTTTTTACTTTTAGAACCTTTACAAATTTTATCTGTCAAATCAGCTAAAATTTTCAATTTATCTTTTAAACCTTTTCCTGTGTAATGTCTAGCTTGTTTAATAGCTGATAAAGCATCTATATATATTTTCATCATACTCATCTTATTATCAGCAATGTCAATCTTTTTTTGATATTCAACTTTCTTTTCTTTATTTGCAAAATTTTTATTTTTACTTTTATTTCCTTTCTCTTTTAAATTTATCTCTGTATTCTTTCGCCCTATAGATAACTTCATCAATTTCTTTATCAGTTTTATTTCACATTATTGAAGGTAATTCAAATTCACATCTCTTCCACATCTCTGTCTGGATCTATTTTTAAAAACATACTTCCTACATCTTCAGTATAATCTTCCTCTGACTGATTCTCTATCTGTGGTAAAGTTTTATTAAAGTCATTCATAGTTAAAGATAAATCATCGACGGCATCTTTTATACCCATCAAATGTTGTTGTCTAGAAGTTTCTAGTTTTTCCATTTGATGAAGTACAGGTTCGTGAAATTCTGCCAATGATTTCTGTATTCCTATATCTACTTCTAATTTCATTTCATTATTTTTTCGAATTTCTGCTTGTAATTTAACCAACTTTATATCATTTTTCATTTGCTCTACCAACTTTTTATTTCTCTCTTTATCAATACTTTCCATTTATAGGTAGTAAAAATAACTATAAGGCTTTTTTGCCTAAAAAAGTATTCTAAAACTGTTTCCTAATAAATGGATAAGATTACAGTCATCCTAAACATTCAGGGATTTATTTTTCCTAATCGTAAGATTGTAAGAGAGATAGGATGGGTTCATTTAAATTTACCAATCGGTGAATATATTGGCGTATTTACACCTAATTGTGAATTGAATGATTAAGAATTGAAGATTGTACATAAATGCACTTCAGAAGTACACGGATTAAGATTTAATAGAAATAAGAATAGTTTATGGATAAATCATCAAGACGTAAAAAATTATATAAATAACCTATATCAACTATATGGTGGTACATTTTAGAAAAAGAGATATTAGATGAATTGAATATACCATCTATTGACATTGATGTACCTAAATGTACTAAAATTTTAGGACCTGGATGTTCGTTATACAAGTGTATGTATTACAGAAATTATATTGCAAAAAATGTTCTTAAATAAATGGAAGAATTTAATGACCTCAAACGATTTCCTGTAACATACAAATTAAATGAACTCGAGATAGGTAAATATAATTTAATATCGCTGAGAAAAATAAATACAAAATACGGTGACTCTATTGCAGCTAGATTAGAAGTAGACAATGATGAGATAGATTTTTATCTCTCGAAATGTCATGGTGAATTATTTGATAAAGCTATAAGAAAAATTAATAGTGGAAAATATATTTTTAATTTTAAGGGTAAGAATAAATATTACGATTATGAATTACATGTAAAATAAAAAACGATATTTAAAATAATCGTGATAATTTTATTAATAAGGGATTTACTATAAAAATAAGAATTTTGATTACTAAAGTCATATAAAATACAGGATTATTAATAAAATAAAAATTATTAATATAAAAAATAAGAATTTTTAAATATGCTGATTTTGTTTAATATTTCATATAAAAATGCAAAATATAGGTCTATTTTAAATTTTTTTAATATAAAATAGGAAATTAATAGTAGTATATGAGGAAAGGGCTAAGTGTCCTGTAGCCCCCCCCCCATATACTACTGTTAGTCAGAGGTGTATGAAAGCGTCAATCATTTTACATGCTTGACGAAATAGCTGCAGGTCCGCATGTGCGTCGACTGAGCTTGGATTCGGTGAGATTCTTGCACTCTCATGTTC